CACATCTTCCTTATTTTGAAAAGGGACGTAAGTGAAGGACAATCCTAGTCCTTTTGCTCTTGTTAACAAATTTTGTTACTGAAAACACAAGGGTTGACAATCAGCCAGATTGAAAAGTTATCGAGTCTAAACACTCTAAAAGGTCTTTTTCATTTGCTTCCGGTAGAATTTACAATGAACATTTGAGAGTGTATTTTTCTTTTAACTTAAACTGGGATTTTTTATTTTAAGAAAAAAATTTTAAATTGTTTGTATTCTATCTAAAAAAATTCAAAACGTGCAAAAGCCACTACAAGGTCACCTGCAATTCCACCAGATGATCGTAAAAATTCCTGGATACCTCACCTTTAACTTTCATAACGAAGATAAAAATGATAAAGTGACCGAAAACTAAAATAACTTTTATTTTTACACATTTTATCAAACCCAGGTTCTATTTTGCTCTTTCCAAACTTTCCACGTACCCTTTCCACCCGGAATTAACATGTAACTGGCCAACAAAAGCGCCCTGAATTATACCCAAATGGCATCATAAATTGTGGCTATTAATTTTTAAATTAGTTTGCAGGCAGTTTGATTGGTCATTGGGAGGTTAATGGGTAAAGTTTTTGGCTTTGCGCCGCCGCCTCTATATGTATGTAAATATTCCGGAGAAACGTCGCAACGCGAAAGAGGCTCATCCGCAATCCGTGCTACTTCAGAAGCCGTGCCGGTGATATGTAACCGGAATAATATATTAGACCGGAGCGGAACGGAAAAAACACCTCGGTCCGTCGCGTCCCGAATTATTTAAATTCGTCGACGCTCTCTTTTTCATTGTAGTTTCGGATCGTGTATTTGAGACGGCGGCTCTGAAAGGAAAAAATATGCTGATTGCGGTCATATGGCCCTAATTCCGAACGGTGATAACGGAATTGAAAGAATTGTTTTTCTAAAATTTTTCTTCGTCTTTTAATTTTAAAGCACTAGGTCACCAGTTACAAAGTGGATACTAAAAATGTTATTAGGGGCACTATCTTTGCCTCCAGTAAAATTGTATTCCTCTGAGAAATTAAAAACGGTAATAACTACGTAAATAACCCTAAGTGGAAATGTACCAGTAGCACGTAGAGTCCAGTGCAAGGACGTGCTTTTAAAATTCAAAAATTCAGTGTACCGTCAAACAACTAAACATTTCGTAGTTCACTCCAACAAAAACTCTTGTGCGTATATATTGTATTTTTCAATAAGTTTACATTTTATGTATTTCGACTTTTTGTATAAGTAATTTTTTGCTTTTCTCAATTCTCTCAATTAAAACTCTTATATGTTTATCGAAAACTAATCAGCACGGGACATTTTACAATCGTCACTAAATTTGAAACCAAAACGCTCATATATAACTCCCAAAAGTTGGAATCTATAAATACTGCTTTAAAATTACTGCCGCAGGTTGTGACAAATAGTCAGTAATTTTTCCATTTTTTTTTTTTTTTTTGAGAAACATTAATATCACGAAACTTTCACAACTGCTCGCACTTCTAAACTGACAATCTGATTAGTTATTTATTATCTGTTTTTGTCCGGAAAATTGTCTACGGGACTTGCAAGCTCCCAGGATTTTCCTGCGGTTCATCCTGGAACTTGTCTGCTCGTCCAGTAAAACATCGTTTCCCGCATGTCGTAGTGAATAATATGAACACAGTGTGCGAGCCAATATTTTGTACGTGATATTTATTTTTTTGTACACGCTCCCAAAAATGGTTATTTTAGGGATTCAAAAGTGTCCGTAAAATGAGTCTTTTTCGTACTAGTACGAAAAAGTTGCCATGGCAACTTTTTGAGACTGAATAGTAAAAACTGTAAAAACAATAATTAAATAACCACATTTATTCTAAAGGAGTAGATACAACAATACAATATTTTTTTTTCAAAATGAAAATGGAATGAACAGTTCTGAGCTCCCTGAAAACTGTTGTGTCCAAACGAAATACCTGAGGAGCTTGAAGGTATCAGGCTGATGTCTCTTGATGCCGTGGAAGTAGCTTCAGTAGTAACTAATAGTGTGTTAGTCGATCGTTCGTTTTGCTTTTCTCCCAATAACTGTCTGCATATCTTCTTCTTCCTTTAAACAGATTCTACTATATATGATTCTGCGACAGAAGACGATCTAAAGTTTGTTATTATTTAGAAGAAAACAATAATTATATTGCAAAAAAATTACTTCCATCCTCCTAGCCGTTTCAGGGAGATTAAATCAACATCACTATCAGCCGCCAGAGATGCAGAACTTCGTCGGAAGCAATGCCCTGTATATTCCTTGGGATTGGGCAGGTTAAGAAATTCAGCAACAACCGAGAGCATTTTCGCAAAAGAATGAATTCCTACACGTTGGACAGTGCATTTTCCATTACGATAACAAATGAAAAAATAATCGTGTTGAACTGTCTCGGGCCGTAATCGTAAAAACTTCTGGTCTAATTACAGGCCATTGACAGCTTTGTCTTTAGCTATCACTGGAAAGACTCTCTTAATGTTGCTCTTAGTATCAGGAATTGTTATAATTAGACATTCTTCGTCTTTTTGGACAATATCTTGAATTTTTAGTAAATGTAGCTCCTCACGCCTGCATGCACCACACACACCAAAAAGAAGAGCAACCTACAAAATGAAAAATAAACCTATCTGATACATACAATATTTTTTAAACTTACCTTTATTAATAAATATTTCATATCGTCTGCATTTGTCAAAAATGTGTCAATTTCTTGACGTGTCAAAACTTTTGACTTCGTGGGCTCGTATCCTACTGAATTTCTCTTTAAAAACGCAATGACTCTAGAAAACTTGTTTATTTCAATATTTTCTTTGACAGACAAAACAGCTTTAATCATTGAATATTTTGACCAGAGAGTAGATGGTTTTACTTCTTGTGACTGTAACAAAATACGGAAATTATCACGATAATCATGTGTAAGGCTTATAAATATTGAACATAAAGGTGGCACTTACCTTTTCATGAAGATAATTTAACACTACATCTTTATTTACTACTACAATTTTTTTTTTCTTCTTTCCATCGTAGGAATATTTGGTATTCCTTTTCGTACATTTGCGGAGACTTCGCTGGAAGTAAATCCAGTACGATTTCTTTTGCTTTTTCCGTAATATGTGCGGGATTCTGCATTTTGTGCAAAAAAATGTCAGGTTTTTTCGTGTTTACAAAACACTGTAGTTACTATGGTGGCAGCCCACTAGCCCAATTTTCAATAAATATTTGCTTCGTTTGTCAAAATTAGTCGTTTTTATAAATAGTTTTTAAGGTATTTTGGGAGCTTGAACAAAAAAATATTGTTTGTAACACGTACCTAAACGTTTTTTGGGACTCATTTGCTATTCCGGACTCGCCTTCGGCTCGTCCGGAAACAGCAAAATTCGTCCCAAAAAACTATGTTTTAGGTACTTGTAACAAAAATAACTATATCGATAGCCTAGCTAGCTAAAATGAAAACAAAAAATTTTCTTTAAGAATTTAATTTAATTTTGTTATTTCCCGAGGTTTCGGTAGATATATTGACAAAGGCTTCAGAGTTAGAGTTCCCTCAAACATATAAAGCGTTTATGACTTCACACCAATTTGACTCGCATTATAATTCAATAGGCCGTCACAACCGGATGTCTTAAACCCGCTCACTGATACCTACCTGCAAAGATCTTTTCTGGTAAAAGCACAGGGCAGGACTGAGTTTTGCATTTACCGACAACTGCGCCTTTCGATTTTTTATTTTAAGTAAAAACAAAGTAACTTTGTACTCAATCATTTTTTATTACGGCAAATTAGTTAGAATTTTGACATACACAACTATTTACTTATTAACTACTACTGCTTATTTATTGATCGAGATAGTCACTGTCATTATCACTCGACTCTTCTAAATTAACAATTAACGGTTTTATCAACCGTGCACTGTACTGGTCTTTTCCTGAATTTATTCTTCAAGAAGGCACTGTGTTTTGTAGCTTCTGCTACAAACCGCATTTCTATTTACAAATATATGTTTTCGGATCATCGGCAAAATTTTTTTCTACAATATTTCGAAAAGTATTTAAAAATAAATTGCTACAAAAATACTAATTAAATGGCCTATCATTATTAATTTTTATTTATTTGTCACTATTTAGTGTAAGACAATAATTTTTAAAAATTTTATTTATCTATGTATTTTTTATTAAAAAAATTAAGCTTGATAAACCTGTTTTTATAATTTGTAAATAAATTTAGTTGTGTTATTACACTTCTTTTCAATTTTTGGAGGATATGCAACTGCATATCTCTGCATATATTAATAAAGTTACAGCATATTTGCATAAATTTCATGCATATTACATGATCATATTTCTCAAAATTTTGCTGCATACTTTTCGCTCTCTAGTCATGTATTATTTTTAATATAACAGCAATATGAATGTACCCTCTGGATTTGAAACAAAGGACGGTGACATCATCAAAATTATTTGATTTATCAAAAAAATTAGTGGACCAGGACGGTGACATCATCAAAATTATTTGATTTATCAAAAAAATTAGTGGACCAGTTTCCTATGATTGCGATAGTACTTATTAAAGATTTTATGTTTTTTGCTTTCATTATCTTAATAATATTTTCAAATGTGCAGAATAATGATTAAATAATTAAGGTACGGAAGAAACGTTAAAAACAAAATTACTCTTAGTCCGGTCCTTCGCGTCTCGGCCGTCCCTGGCACGTGGCATTGTTTACATTTACTAAGCTTTATGAAGGGTCGGCTGTAAAGTACTTTAAACGTCAAAGCCATAAACGCCTTATAGGTTTGAGGAAACTATACAAAACACTTCTCTTTTTAATCGGGGGTTAAAAACTGATTCCAAAAATTAATTTTGTCTTTAGAACTTTTAATTTAACATTGGCAGTTAGGGTAATTATTAATAACTAGAATATTGGCTGTGAGCTTTGTTTCTAAATGCGTCTACTTTATTGCAGGTTCCATCAGCAACATCGATGGTGCCGAATATCACTGCAACAAGACTCAAGTCAGAAAAGTAATATCAGGTGTCGTTGGCGCAGCTTCTAGTGTTACTTCAATACAAGTAGCCAATTTGCTCAGACTTTTTAAAATACCACAGGTAAGAAAAATTGGAACTATATTGGCAAATTACACGCTGTCCTATCAAAATGTCAGCAATACATTTAGTAATTTAAATAATGTAATTTGACTAAACGCTACACAATAGGATGTCTTTAGAACTTTCTAAAATATTCTAAGCAAAGAATGATACATTACGTCTATCAAAATCCAGAACTGAAATAGATACAATTTAATTAGTACCTACTCTAAATAATCAACATAAATTTCCTCAAAATTTAGGTAAGAAGAATGTTGTCTTGCCACCTCGTAAACTCTACATTTGGTGGGTAACAGTTTACACTTCATATGGTACATATATTTTGTTGTCGCTGTCGAAATTGTAAAGGAAATGACATCTACATAACAAACACTCTTAGGAAAATATTTCTCTTGCAACAGAATATTCCAGAAAGTAGAGCAAGTTTCTGATGTTGCAGTTCTGGTAACTCATTATAGTTGCGAACGGAACTGAATCATTTATTCGGTCAACGAATACGCTGCTCTTTACCTTCCATTAATTAAATTTAAGCAAAATGAGTTTTGTATAAATTGATTACATTCCTATTTAAATTGTCGTATTGCAACTGTATTCATGGTCTTTTTGTCAGTGGGACAATGTTGTACTTTTAAAATTTAAATACTTGTTTGTAATTGGGAATTTGAAACGAAAATCTATCAGACAAAACAATACCTCGTTTTGTTACAGATTTTCTCGTCACGCTCCTAAGAAACAAAATTCTCACTCATTTTAACTGCAAAATCTTACAATGTTATTCCATTTCGCAGTTCCAACGTTGAGGCGGTCACAAAAAATCTTAAATTGTTTGAGTCTCGGTAGGAGTTATGACATGATAAAAACAGTTTATTCTTAAGATAAGGCGACTTTGATAGCATAAAGTTTTCTACTTTAATTTTAGATTCTTGGCGAATTTTACTAATCGTAATAATCGAGGTAGCATTTGCATATACGCCTTTTTCAGGTATTTTGCAAAACATGGTAAATCTTGATCTGTCTAAAATTTTTCATGTTGGATGGGTTACCTAGGCTTAGGATATGGAATAAACACGCAAATATTAAAATCACTGATAGCTTTTCAATTTAATATAGAAATCAGTGTTTTTGTTGAACTCCCTAATATTATTTTTTATTTAATCGTTGTAAACTCTACGATTCAACCAAACAGAGCGAAATCTGTTATCGACTACTGCAACGCAACTTGCAAAATGACCGATTTCTTGTTTCACTTTAGAACACGTCGTCAAGAATTATTTATCTCAGTTGCAAATTGTTTTAGGCTTTCAAACGGTATCACAAAAAAGCATTGAAGAACTTACTTAAAAAAAGCATGAGAGTGGTCTGAAAATTGGTCAAGAATACAATTTTTTTATTAAAACCTGCAAACTAATCATTGATATAAATACTGGACTCAAGTTTGTTAATTCGAAATAACGAGTGTTCATTTATCAAGTTGAAACTGATTTTTTTTTGTCTGCGGTGAAATTCAAATTTTAATGATCAATGACAGCTGTTGTCGATCCTCTAATCTAACTTCTCTTTTTTGCAATTTGTAAGTAAGGAAAATACATAAGACTATTTTTTTTAATTTATACAGGATTTCTATAAATGATTATAGGGTCCCAATAGATGATGTAAAGGTGCCGCCTCTCAGATTTGAAATGTACTAAATGCCCAAGGACGCATGACAGATACCACACGTATCTGTATAACTGGTTGCCTAAATGCTTCATATCTTTTTAAAAAATTTAACTACTTCATTACAATAAAAATAAACTAATTTATTGCAGTTAAACATCACAGTAAACGTTCAAAGTGTTCACCATTTTGTTCAAATCACATGTTCACTGTTTTTTTAATTTAAAAAATGTTCAGTAACATCATTTCGTCAAATTATTGAACCCATTGTTCAATTTAATGTTGCAACACGACTGGTGAGTAAATTTTGTCAAAGATGTTTGCAGATTCTGCGCAAGTCGTCTCAAATAATCAACAACTTCCTCAGATACTGAAGGTTTTTCACGAGATTTCTCTTTGTTTACACTGCCAGTTTGAACAAATCTGTTGATTACATCTCTAATGTGAGCCTCTAACGATGTTTCTTGAATTATTAAATCACGGTATTTGGCCAGATATTCTTGCTTACAAGCGGTTGCAGAATACAAACACTCTTCGTTTACGAAGTCCCATTGCGATAACGTAACGACGTAACAATGAAAATGTCTTTCAACAGTTCAACAGAAAAAACTATTTTCACGGTCTTCGCTTCCTAGCACAAAAAAACCGACTGTTTTGTTGTTTTGATCAACGAGAATTACTGTAACTCACACTTGAAAAACGTTAAATTTATCACCAAATTTAGGCACAAGCGTAATGAGAATGAGCGATATTTTCCAGTAGTGTGGGTATACATATCTTGTCAAAATGTGATTAAAGACATGCAGTAAAGATAGGATACAGCAGCTAATACAATCCGCAACAATAATGGTATGTTGTCAGGTCTACATACATAGTTGGCTTCCATCTTCTTAGCCGCCTTTAATAAATCAATATCACATATACAAAATGTTGATAAAAATCAGAAATAACAAGCCTTGATCATTATAATCATCACAGATATTATCACAAATTACTGATGGACAGCAATCGGTATTGCAAAATTTAGAGGAACCGAAACCAATATTACAAGCAATATCACAGAAATGGTCATTATTACAATTAAAAACACTGGCAAACTGGTGAGCGAAAGCTTCCATTATTTAGTGTACCTAATAAAAAATTATAGTAAAAGCCGTTGTAGATATTTTTTTATAGTTTACCTTGTAGCAATATTGGTCTAATGATTCATCTTTGCGTAATTGCTGGCCAATTTTTTGAGACTGCAATAGTTCATTAAATGTATGTGACGTTTCATGACTCCTTTGAGATGAAACCATGCTTCATCATTAAAAATTATTTTTTGCGCCAATTTTTGCTCATATGTCGCTTGAGTGATTTTTAATTTTAAGACGCAAATTGTAGTTCACCTCAAAAAATTGTTGGGTTTTTCAATGTCCTCAAGAAGCTGTAAATAGGCAGCGAAACCGTCGACATAGGATATCGATCTTTCTTAATGTCCACGTGTCCTGACAAAACAGATAATCTAGTTTGACCAAAGTTTAAGAATTTCTTGTTTAATTACGGTTTCTTTACTGTCAACTTTAAATTTGTTATTTTTTTTCCTTTCATGGTTTCTCTAGAGTGCTGCTTACTGAATGTTATATGGGTTTTTCGTTTATTACTTGCGCTGTCTTCTAATGTGAAGTAATCATTTTGTAAAACCTATTGACAATTTATTTTATGTAGTTAAAAAGAAGACCTAATACCGACTCTTTAAGGATATATCTTTTTGTACCTTTCTGTACGTAATATGGTAATAATCAGGGTCTCTGTGTAAGTTTTGACTTTCTTCTCACCTCACCGCTCTTTAAATCTCTGATACGCTTGATCGTATAGTTTTCGCTAGAGTCCCTAGATATACTTTAGAAAAGAGTTGTGACTAGAATATTTTCTGTGTCTGTCTTTTTTTAATGCCGCTCAGTTATGAAATAGCTATAGTGGTTGCTGTCTTTCTCTAATTTAGTGATTTAGTTTCATAAACTTTAAAATAAATTTATTGGTTATGTTAAATTTTCAAACAGTGACGTAGAGCTCGAAATAGTTTCTTTGAAATTTTGTTGACAGTACTCACACTGACAGTACCTTGTATTTAAAACGAAATGTTACGCAGTTAAATACTTCTTATAAGTTGCAACCGGCATCTCTAGTAAAATAGAAAAATACGGAATAACCATATTAATTAATACTTTATGAGATTATGTCGCAATTTGCAGTTAAGTTTGAACACCAGTCTGTACCTAAGTACTGTCGCTGTCCCCAACGTAACATTTGGAGTGTGTATCATATTGTTAGTGTCTATTCTGATATGTAGAATAATCTCAGTAGAAATATATAGATGCATATGCCTCCATATGAAATAAAACTTACAAGTGAACTGTGTTGCCTTTTTAATTAAAATAACAGTGGAGATATTACAAAAGCAAGCTGGGTCAATCGAACTTCTGTAACTCGAACTATTTAGGAAATGTTCCTCAAACAATTAATTAAATGGCCGAAGAATACATGAGGTTGGATTCAATACTTTTACTACCCCCATAATAGTTACAACATTTTTTAACTGCGCTTCGAATTTTACGTTTTACTTTTCCTAAATAAATTCTAATTCGTTACAAACAAAACAAATTTATAATTTGGTTTTACTGTATGACAAGAAGGAAAAAAATGTTTTTAAAAAGAGAATCATTAAAAACGTAGTATTCAGAGTACATAAAAAATCAAAATTCTTTTCTGGAAACTGTTTACATAAATTTAGAAAAATTCGTCCCAATCTTAAAAAAAGTGTAAACGACGATTCCGTGGAAAAATTTAGACATCTTGAACGATGTGTTAATAAAAATGTTAAACATATTTGGCATTTCACTTTTTTCCTAAGTCTTTTCAGAATATATCCTGCCGAATTAGAATCAATTTTGAAGTGTCTTGTTTAATTCAGGACTGTTATCATTCCAATTGTTGGGAAGTTGACACTGCATCATTTAAATTTTGTTAGTGTTCGTATTACCAAAATAGTGTAAGTTACTACCGTAGTAGTAATAAGTCACTATTTAATAAATTGGAATCATTTTCATTTAGATAACAACCTTCTGAAATTTTCATACCGAAAAGTTGAAAAACACATTGTTTTTTAAAATTTGTCTGCATTGTAAAGCAGAACTTTTTGACGAAATCTTTATTTGACCAAATGCGTTCTTAAGAAAAACGCATACACATTGTATTTTTTAACATTTAACAAATAATTTTGAATATCTAAGATTGTTTGAGTTGTTAATGTAACTCTATGTCTATGTGTCGGTTTCTAGTAAAACTTTGCACCAATTTTTATG